CAATTAAGTCCATCCACTAAATCAAATTAAATTTTTATTGATTTACAAGTTGTGTATTTAAACTTCTTTAGGGGGAAAAGGCAAATAATAATAGCATTATACTAATCAAATGCAAACATTTGTGGGCAAAGTATTAAGAAACGAAACCACTAGGCTGATCCTTGAAGTTTGACAGTGAGGAGCAATTCTTAAAACACACACTATATAAATGACATAAGTAGTTCGTAAAACACATGGCATAAATGACATAAGTAGTTACTAACACACACTGAACACTACAATTGGATGGCCAATTGAACGTTCATATGATATAATTATAATATAATGGCTATGTTTGACAAAATTTGTATTTATAATGGTGTGAACTTTAATGTTTTTGAGAAATAGTACAATATGTTAAATTTTATGTATGTGATTAGTATTGTTTAAGTTAACATAGATTTAGTTGAATATGTACATATAATGCCATAATAATAATAATAATAATAATAATAATAATTTTTTTGTTATTTTAAAATTATGTAATACTTGGTTTAGTTGGTAGATATTTTATATTATTTGCAAATTTAGCACTAAATCAATATGTGATATTAATTATATGCACGTTATATAATATGTGATTATTAGAAAAATGTAGAGTTCTTTTCAAGATGGATCGTTCTTGGATGTATGGTCGTCGAGACACGACTGAATTTTTCATTGGTGCAAATGGGTTCATCAAAGCTGCCGTTACACACCAGAAACAACAAGGATATAAAGGAATTTTATGTCCTTGCTTAAGGTGCCGAAACTTGAGAAGAGAGAGTGACGTCAATGTTATACTTCAACATCTGTTTGAGCGAGGTTTTAGAGAAAATTACACAATTTGGACATTACATGGTGAGACTTGCCAGGATGGTGAGAATGTTGTTTCACGAGCTGCCGCTAATAATTTAAAGCGCAAAGCCCCTGATACTACCACCGAGTTAAATTGGAACAGTGGCAACAATGGGGATGATGATTTTAATGATGATCAAATGGATGATTTTTTGAAGGATGTGCATGATAATTTTGAACAACAACCAAAATCATATGAAAGTATGGTTGATGCTGCCAGAATACCTTTGTATTCTACCTCTAGTTTTACCAAGCTGTCTGCGGTGTTGAAATTGTTTCATTTGAAAGCGAAACATGGATGGAGCAATGTCAGTTTTACAGAGTTATTGACATTAATTCAAGAGATGTTGCCTGAAGGGAATACACTTCCTGATACAACGTATAAGGCAAGAAAGTTATTGTGTCCCATGGGAGCTGAATGGGAGAAATTTCACGCTTGCCCCAATGATTGTGTGTTGTACCGGAATGAGTACCAAAACCTTGATGAATGTCCAACGTGTCATCTTTCTCGCTACAAGGCTAAAAGGAGTACCAATAGTGCTAGTGACACTGAGAGTTCCAAAATTCCTGCGAAAATTCTGTGGTATCTCCCCATAATTCCGAGATTTAAAAGGTTATTCATGAATGCAAAAGATTCCAAACATTTAGTTTGGCATTCTCAAGGTAGAAAAAAAGATGAGTACTTACGTCATGTGTCTGATTCTCCACAATGGAGGCAAATTGACTTGAAATATCCTGAATTCGGCAGGGAGGACAGGAATTTGAGACTTGGCTTATGCACAGATGGTATGAACCCATATGGTACACTCAGTAGTCAACACAGCACTTGGCCAGTATTATTGGTTATTTACAATTTGCCTTCATGGTTGTGCATGAAACGCAAATACATCATGTTGTCTCTTCTTATCTCAGGACCAAAACAACCAGGTAATGATATTGATGTGTACCTTGCACCGCTTATTGACGATCTCAAACTGTTGTGGACCGAAGGTGTTAGAACATACGACATGCATACCAAATCTTATTTTCAAATGCGTGCTATGTTGTATTGCACTATAAATGATTTTCCAGCATATGGGAACCTTTCAGGTTACACAGTCAAAGGTGCAAAAGCATGTCCTATATGTGAAGATGATACAGTTGATTTGCGATTACCTCATTGCAAAAAAAATGTTTACATGAATCATCGAAGGTTTCTTCCGCGCACTCATCGTTATCGTTCTTTGAAGAAGGCATTTAACGGGAAAACTGAGCGTGAAGTAGCTCGTCCACCATTAAGTGGTTATGATGTGTATGATAAGGTGAAAGATTTGAACACAATCTTTGGAAAACCTTATAAGCGGAACAAGCAGAGCCTTTGGAAGAAGAAATCTATATTCTGGGAGCTTCCTTATTGGAAAGACCTATCAGTAAGGCACTGTCTTGATCTCATGCACATTGAAAAGAATGTGTGTGATAGCATCATTTCGACTATTCTGAATGTTCCTGGAAAGTCAAAGGACGGCATAAATATTCGAAAAGACATGGTTGAGCATCTGAATATTCGGAAAGAATTAGCACCACAACCACGTGAGAATGGATTTTTTCTTCCACCAGGCAGTTATACATTATCAAAGGCCGAAAAAAAAAGTTTCTGTGAGTGCTTACATGGGATAAAGGTCCCATCAGGGTATGCGTCGAATATCAGAAATCTTGTATCACTGCAAGATATGAAATTGATTGGGTTGAAGTCTCATGACTATCATGTTTTGATGCAACATTTGTTACCCGTTGCTTTACGTGGTCTGCTACCTGATCATGTCCGGCATGCCATTATGAGGTTGAGTTTCTTCTTCAATTCTATATGCCAAAAAGTAATTCATCCAGAGAAACTTGATGCTTTGCAATCAGAAGTGGTTGTTACATTATGTCAACTTGAAATGTATTTTCCGCCATCATTGTTTGACATTATGGTGCATCTTGTAGTGCACTTAGTCAGAGAGGTGAAGATGTGTGGGCCGGTGTTTTTGAGGTACATGTACGGAATGGAGAGACACATGGGGTATTTAAAATCAAAAGTGAAAAACCGTTGTCGACCGGAAGGTAGCATCATCAGAGGCTTAATTGATGAAGAAGTCATTGAGTTTTGTACTCCATATTTAACGAATGTTGAATCTTTGGGAGTACCAAAGTCTAGACATGATGACAGACTTGAAGGAAAGGGCACTCTTGGGAAGAAACAAGTAAAGAATGCGGATAATGACTTGTTGGGAAAAGCTCATCTTCTCGTGTTGCATCATCTTGAAATTGTTCATCCTTATGTGCAACAACATATGAATGTCTTGAGATCTCAGTTTGCTTTGAAAAGTGAAATTTGGTTGACTAAAGAACACAACCGAACATTTGCATCTTGGTTTAAGGATTTAATTTTCAATGACACTAATAATGTGTACTTTGAAGTTGATGATGATATTAAGTGGTTGGCCTATGGTCCTAAACGACCAATTGATTCCTTTGAAGCCTATGATATCAATGGCTACACTTTTTATACTACTAGACAGGATGAAAAGTCAGTGTTACAGAATAGTGGTGTGTCTGTGGTAGCATCTTCGACTGAGTATGCTAGTGCAACTGATCAAAATCCGTTATATGCGAGGTCTTCTTACTATGGAAAAATAGAAGACATTTGGGAGTTAAATTACACAACTCGAGCTTTTACCATTTTCAAGTGTCAATGGGTTGACATTCGTCGAGGAGTGCAACGTGATGACACTGGAGTCACATTAGTAGATTTTAACCGATCAGGACATCGTGATGATCCGTTCATACTTGCATCACAAGCTGAACAAGTGTTTTATGTAGAAGATCCTTCAAATAAACGATGGTCTATTTGTTTACCTGGAAAGAAAAAGATTACATGTAATTTTGAGGATGAGGAAGATGATTATGTTGAGGAAATGCCCTCATTATCCATCGGGATGCGTGAAAGAAACATAACAAATGATCACAATGAGGATGATCTTCCATTCATTGCACACCATAATGATGGTATTGAAGTGTTTACGGAAAAAGCTAAGTGAGGAATTGTAAGTTGTTTTGAAATTAATTATTATTAATATTGAATTATTATTATTTATATTTGTGCTAATCATTATGCATGCCTATGAATTGCAGGTTCACATTATGAGCGACGACGATGGGGAAGATCATGATCATAATCACAATCCTCACGGCGGCGGCGGTCAAAGAGACATCGAGGGGAAAAAAATAATTGAATTTGCTGATAATGATGCTGTCATCGGAGGGTGGGCTGAAGAGTTTAAATCATTCATGGGGAAGATGGTACGTTCTCGAGTGAGTATAAACACTGATAGTTGGAAGAAAGTTTCAAAGAAAAGTAAAGATCAAATCTTTAAAGAGATACAGGTATGTATAAACTAAACTCTCCAATTGTACAAGCTGAAATATTATCTTCATTTCATAGTTAGTATATAATTTACGCTAACACTTTGTTTTTGATGTTATAATGCAGCATGATTATGCTTTGGATGATACAATGAAAAAACCAATTTTGAAAAGGTTGGGCAAAATGCACAAAGATTGGAGAAATCGGTTGCGATCAGGTTTTATACATATGACTCGTCAAGTAGGGAAGGATTGTGGGGAAGCTTATGAGAAGTACAAAGACCAATTTACCAAGGAAGAATGGGATGAGTTCGTGACGAAGACTATGACTCCGGAGTTTGTGGTATGTCATACAATTAAAACAATTCAATATTATAATTAACTAGTTGTTTAATATTTATTTAACATTGACTAGGCTTTGAGCGAGAAGAATAAACTAGCTGCTCGTAAGAATATCTATCCTCACCACATGGGTCGATCAGGATATGTTCTTTCCATACCAAAATGGAAAGAGCAAGGATTATTGGATCAGTTTCTTACTAGTTCAGATGTAGATTCAACGAACTCTAGCACAGTCACTACTGATGATATTCCAAGACATGTCACTTGGTTTTGTGCAAGATCTGGATTAACAGCGGATGGTCAGTTAGTTTTTCCTGGTAATACTGAGGGCATGCTGGAGAAAAAAGAGAAGTTGGTAAGTTATAGCAAGTATAGGTATACTCATAGAACATAATCATGTTTATTTTTTTAACATTAAATTCTATTGTTTCTGTATTAGGATAAAGTTAAAGAAGATTTAGCAGCTGGCACTTGGAAGCCAACTGGACGAAATGATATATTGACTGAGGTTGTTGGGAAGCCAGATTATCCCGGACGTGCACGTGGTGTCGGTGGGGGTGTCGGTTATACACATGTCTTTGATCGTGAGCCGAGGAGCAGACCTAAGGTTGGTAATTTGAGTGATGATGACCTAAAACAATTGAAAGAGCGCTTGATGAAAGATATGCAGCACTACTTTGTTTCAAAAGATGAAGTTCCTACCGGGGATTCGATGCCCGCTTCCGAGGCGGCCCATGTGGACACCATGAACTCTGTTGCACCTCTTCGTAAAAGATCTTTCATTGTAAGTAAGCATTTAATAAATTTTTACGTGTAACCATCCTACATGTAAGTAACCATTTAGTAAATCTGTCATCATGCCATTATTTTCATTTTATTTTTCATTTGTTATGAACATACATGCAGGATGGTGTATCATGTAGGCTTGCAATTGAGTCACACACTCATCCTGGTGATAAGAGTTTTGACTTTGTGGCAGTGGCTGTAGCTTACAACACGTCTGTTGGGGCGGTAATCCATAATGTACCGATGTGTGAAAATGCAATCAAAGTGAACATATCTATGGCATATCAAGGTTTTGAAGATTGTCCATTGCCATATCCTAATGAAGCCGCTGATATCTGTGTTGTAGCAGATGCTGTAGGTTCATATGTCCAGTGGCCATCTCATTTAGTTTTTTTTGAGGAAGAGGTAATGAAGTAATTGTTATTTTTTTTTACATCTGATGCTTATTTCTTTATGAAATTGCTTCATATTTTTTACTTTAATAATTATATTAGGAACCACCTGCTAAGTCAAAAAAAAAAAAGGAATGACGCTAAGCAAAAAGTACCCTTTATCTTGAGAGATTCACCAAAAGTAACGGTTGAACCCAGCTCACATTCATTGGTCAGTGAAACTGTTCTTCATTCACTTAGTGGTGATCTTTTAAGATTGCATGATAATCTTGAGTGGTATGAGCCCGATCTTTGTAAGTTTAGTGTTCCTCTTCCTGCGGAGTTGTTCTGTTATATTGATGATAGCCAATTTGGGATCGTTGTTGACCGTCAAGACTTGAGTCAATTTCTTGAGAGTGATTCTATTGATATGTCAATTATTCAGACCTTTATGCTGTAAGTATTATATTAAGTTTATAAATACTCTTGAATATTTGTTAGACTTAATTACTAGTTAATTATTATAAATATCATAATTTCACGTGCAGTTGCCTAAATGCAAAAATGGTTGAATTTGGTCGTGATGATGTGGGTCTTTTATGTCCTTTGATTTGCTCTTTGAAGTATTATGAATTGGATAAAAAAGGCACACGGACTTATTTGAAGCATGCACTGATTCAAATGTTTGAAAAGAATCTCATTCTCTTGGCATATAATGAAGGGTATGATTCATATATTACATTCTAATCTCTTTAATGTATTGACAACAAGTATTTTTTACCCATTTTCTATTCTCTTGTGAAATATAGGTATCATTGGATTTTATTTGTAATTTGTCCAAAGGTGGATAAGGGCTATATATTCAATTCATTGCCAAGTTCATCCAATTTTGTTATTCAAGATGATCTTACGATGTATGTATTTTTAATCACTTACTTGTGATATTTAACATTTATATTTGTATGTCAACATTGAGCATGTATATATGTAAACATTGAGTTATCATTATAGGATGTATAGAGTTGCTTCTACACAAAAAGGTCGTGGCAAATCAATCAAATGGCATAATATCAAGGTAATTTCATCATCCATCTTCTCTTATTTACCCAAGTTATGCTTTAATTTAAAAAGAATCATATTATTTTTCATATAATATATAGTGTGCAAGACAAACGGGCAATACAGAATGTGGGTATTATGTCATGAAGTTTATGTGGGAAGTAATAACTTATGCTGGAACTGCAGATATTGGGCAGGTATATTAATTATATGTACTTCAATAGGTGGATTTCATTAAATTATTTAACTTATTTATAATTTAGTTTTTCATTATTTATCTTATATTTAGTCTTCTTATGTATGAACATTTTTCAGGCTTGGAATTCAAGAAGTGAACCATATACGACGGAGGAGTTTAATGATATCAGAAATGCATGGGCTAGGTTTTTCGTAGATGAAGTTATGAATATGTAGTGGAATTTTGAGTATGAATCAAACTTGAATGTAATTTATTTCTACTGTGATACATATTTGAACTACTTTTCTAATCCAGGATTTATGAATGAATGTGTAGTTTTGGTTGGTGATTGATATGTAAATAAAACGGATGATAGGGCGTATTAAAAAATAACCATAAAAAAACAAAAACAATTGGAGGCGCTTTTTCAAACACAAGCGCCTTCAAAATAATTTTCGTAGTAGACTTCGGAGGCGCTTCTTTTGTCACAAGCGCCGCACAACTTTTAAAAATTGGCCAGCAAAAAAGAATATCAGAGGCGCTTGTTATTAAGGAAGCGCCGCAAATTTTCAAAAAAAATTCGCGCGTGCGACGCTTTTTCTGTTAGAAGCGACGCAGATAATGGAATTAAATTAAATAAATAATAAAGATTAGAGGCGCTTTCTGGCTAAAAAGCGCCTCCATTATGGATTTGCGTCACATTCGCCGGAGGCGCTTCGAAGCGCCGCGCGTGCCCCAAAAAAAGCGCCTCTATTTGGCTTTTTTCCACCAGTGGTGGTTCTCAATCTGGCAACAGAGAGGAAAGAGGAGTGGGGAGTGGAGTTAGATTTGCATGGTATGCATTTGGGGACAGCATATCTGATCATGCTGCTGTGGTTTGAAGAGGTTAGATCAATATGTGAAAGTGGAGATAATGATAAGCTGCCTAGCGAAAGGGTGGTGTGTGGGGTGGGAAACCACAGCGCGATTAGAGGGAAATCCCCTGTGAAGGGTTTGGTGAAGAAGATGCTGCAGCAGATGGGTTGTCCACTTAGAACGACAGCAAGAATAACAGATGCTTTATTGCCAAAGGGAGGGTTCTCAAAGACTGGATGTCATTATATAATAAAAGGCCGGCGATGAATCCAAATTTTGTTTCAAATATCATGCACGTCCAAAAAGGCATATTAGACATTAATTGTGCCATGAGAAATAGACCAAAATTATGAGAGAGCAATGAATCCAACTTCTCGACAACGTACACTGTCAATCCTTGTCTTCAACGGCCAAATGTTGGATTTTGAGAACCAGAAAATTAGAAGAAAAAGAATTGTCATGGGAAGGAAAGAGAATAAGAGCCCATTTGGTAATTATTCAGTATATGGAATTTATTAACCAAGGTTTTTTCGCCACAACTCATGCTCTAATGACTAAACGAATAAATATGACATTTCAACCTTCAATCTTTATATTGTTTTCTTTGATTTGTTAGGTAAATATGAAGTTAATTTTTAGATAATGACACTAGATAATTCAGTAAATTCAAGTCATTCTACCAGACTTCAGCTAATACAGATAGGCCTTACCTAACGGGCTATAAATGTTTGCAAGTTGATAGAGCAATTCAGTCGTGCCTGCTGCTGCTGAACTGGTAAGCCTTAAAACCAGGGCATCCACCAAATGTACATTTTCCCAAGATTTTTGTGACACACTGCTTCAGCTATCAAGCGGCGAGCTTGTCCTTCTACGGCTAGGGGCAAAGAAGGTGCAGCTCCAACACCAACAACTATGCCTTGCAAACGTGCTTCAATGTTACTTATTGCCCTCTGCATTTTGACAGCCAAAAGTATTGCCAATAATTATCTGTTATAACACTTTTAAAGTTTTATAACAATAGTGCAATGCCAAAAATCTATGTGTACTCTGCAAATGTAGAATAACATCCCCGTTATTTCAGCATAAATTATCATTTACAATTACTCAATCCATACCTGGAAAAAGTTCATGATCTGGTTTAAGATGATAAATTTAAATACTCCCTGAATTATTATTAATAGTTCAAATTTATATATTTAGAAATTACACTAAAAATTTTATTAAATTGCAAAACGAAAACTCAAAAATGATAAAAATATTGATATGTAAAATCCCAGATTTAAGTGTTCAATTGACCGCATGAATAGTGGGTGTAATTGGTGTAAACTTTAAGGATGATTTTACTTGGACTGAAACTTTCTAGTCTTATCTGGGTCTGGTTTGTTCAAGTCAAGTTTGATCTGATCTAAATTGATTTGCTCTGCTCTGGTAGTCTGGCAGATGGCTGGTCTATGTGCATTTTACAATTGTCAAAGTCTAGCTGGTATGTTTAAGTCTGGTTTGCGTGTTTAAGTCTGGTCTGGTCTGAGACTGAAACCAGTCTATGTAAAAACATAGGACAAAGGTAGTATTTTATTTAAATGTCCCACCTCTATCATATTCCGTTAAAAAAACATGTGCGGCTCATCTTTATGTAACTCATTCACGACAACTAGTGGAGTTCGGATTAAGCAAAATTCATCATTTGCACTTCCATTTTACACCTCCATGGCCTTTTTGGAAGTAAAGCATTAAGTGCATTTTTAGTAAAACTGATATGAAAAAGCAATACTGGAGTCTGTGCTCTACTATGTCTAAGTTAGTTTTTTCTTTAGCAAAATTTACCAAAAAGAGACTGTAAAGCAAAAAAAACTCACAGCTTGCATAGATTCATAACAAAAAGTTAATTTCACAATCTAATAATAAAAGAACCGACATTTGCAGGGCAATGTTATAGCATACGACGTATAATCTAAAGTGGCAATCAGAACTGCACATCAACCAATGTAGGTTCCTCTGCCTCATAGCATTTCGTTAATGGAAATAATAACTAACTGATATGGTGGAGTAAAGCATACATACTGCACATGGTGACCTCAATTCTATCTATGCGAGTGTGTGAACGGACACACATAAAATACTGTAATAGAAAAGTGAGAGGACATACACCAACCTGTGCATGAGGATTTTGAACCTCAACCCCACTGGATTTATGAGATTTAGTCCATTCTACAAGAGGATCATGGACAAAAGTCTCTAGGACACTCATCAGTGTCTCCCTGTGTGTTCTTAATACGGAAAGTGTTATCTCACATACTTTCAAGAATATCCCCTCATATCCTGTTATTCCCAGCCCATCAACCATGTTCTGCCAATTTCAATTGAATAAGTTAATACAGAAACAACAAAGCCATCATCACAAAGGTAATATTTAATAGGGAAAACTGTCAAATATGTCCTCGAACTTTCATAAAAAAGTCAATTAAGTCCTATATGAGACTCTGTCCGGTCATCGCGATTTGGGGCGGTTCCCGGTGGAATTTTTTGATGAAATTTTTTGAGCATCTTATTCATCAAGTCTAGTTTACTCATACCAAATTTCAGCTAAAAATTTAATCGGGAGCGCATTCAAATTAATTCGAGAACGCAAAAATGCGCAGTTATGTTCAAGAATTAATTTGAATGTGTTCCCGATTGAATTATTAGCTGAAATTTGGTATGAGTAAACTAGACTTGGTGAATAAGATGCTCAAAAAATTTCATCAAAAAATTCCAGCGGGAACTGCCCCAAATCGCGACGGCCGGACAGAACCTCCTATAGAAGGACTTAATTGACCTTTTTATGAAAGTTTGAGGACCTATTTGACAGTTTTCCCTATTTAATAAGTTTAAGTTTTTTTTTCTTTTTTTTTTCTAATTTTGAAAACGAAGAAACGAACCGACCCACACTCCCCAGTGAGAGTAGTTAAACCCCAAAACCCCCAATAATTTAACTTGGAAAATGCCAATAAAAATAATGTTAAGGAAACCTCTGGGGCTTAGTTTGGGATTGAGGTAGCAACTGAACATTCTATATTTCTACCTTCTTGGCAAGTAGCTTCTGAAATGAAAATCATGGAGGGGAAATGTTTTGGAGAGTAAGAAGTGTTCGACATTTGATGTAAAAAAAGCAAGGTAAAATTCCAAGTCTAAAAACGGGTAAAATGCATAAATGATACCTTATCTATAGTACATGTGTTTCACTTACGTATAGTTAAGGTACATGTGTTTCACTCATCTAAAAACAAAACATTTTACGCTAGAACACATTTTGTCAAAACGCAATTTTACACTCATATTAAGTGTCTAAAAAGAAAATAGTTTACACTAAAACGCAAAGCTCTCATATGGTGGCTTTTGTATTATGGTGGCTTTTAGTAATTCAAAACAGCTTTTGGCCAAAAATTGCCAGGGAAACCGGGATAGTGTTATGATGAAGATGAGCTTTTGCAAACGCAAGTGATCCAAATGGAGGTTCTTAATGTCTGGGGCCTGGGGGGGGGGGGGGGGGGGCTTTACCTGTGTGAGCCTGAAAGGAACAAGCTCAGGTTTCTCCAAAAGTAAGCCCTTATCAAATAAGCAACTGAAATCCACATGAACACAGTCACCTGTTGTAGAATCATACAGAATGTTTTCACCATGACGATCTCCGAGCCCCACTATGTGCCCAACCATTGACCAAACAGCAGTAGTGTGTGCAAATGCTACCCGAGCCCTAAACCAAGCAGCCGGTTCAGAAAATGTGTTTAGAAACCATTTGTGGAAAGCTGGAGGGAACATTGGAAGAATTTTGTTCTTCAAAAGTTCATCTTCAGGTATTTTTCCTTGGCATTGGTCATAGATGCGCTTAATCTGAGGATTTGTTTTCTGTCTATCAAACTTTCCACAGCTTAAATATATGTCTTGAAGAATCTGTCGAAGACCACGTGTATGTGGGACCCATTCAACCATACCACAGTCTTCTGTTAATGGGATCACTGCAAATGTGCGAATGTAAAGCTTCCTTCTCCGACTCTCAGGACTTTTAGACAGCAATCGGTTAACCATTGCATTGAATTCCATCATGCGGGCATCTTTCCTCAAGTCATCCTTTGGTTTGCAAAGGAATGGCCGTTCACTTCCATCACTTCCTAAAAGAATGATCTACAAAACCAAACAGTCATTCATTACACCTAATCTTGTAGTCACACTCTTGAATGATCCCAACAGAAACATGCTTTCCACTCTCCAGTACCCATCAATCCATGTAATCACATGGTTAAAGTTATCCATACAAGGCATCTTTGATATTATGTGATGCTTCAACCTATTACTTTGGCGATGTTATGCGAAGGTTATTTGATTTGATTATGAATATTCTTGAATTTAATGAATGTTTTCATTATTTAGGGACATTTTTTTGTTAGAACGAAAATTAGTTTGGTGCGGAGGGAGTATAAATTCGTTTTTTGAGGTTTAAGCCCCAATGTGCAGTAAGGGTTGCGTCTTGCCTCATCTGGACAGACTGGTGCAATTTGAAATATCAGTTTAATGTATAATTCTATGTATTCTCAAATGTAATGAGTAGAGATAGGAGGTGAAAGAGTGAAAATTATAAACAAACTGTCATGCATAAGATGGAAGTGAACCATTCTAGCAAGATAATCAGTTTTAATGGGAGCAGTGGTCCTAGTGGAATTTGAAGCATCTGGAAGATCCAATGCACAGCTAACGAGTATAAAAGGCTTACTTTCTTTGGACGCTGAAGTGAAGACAGTATTTCAGCCTCGTCACTAATTCCAGATATAGTCGGAAGATCTGACAGAGAGAATGTAACACTATCAGATGGCATATGATATGAGGGTAGGTTTGCAGTGAGTGATTGTTGGGTTGGCATAATGATCTCCAGTGGCATCATCCTCTTCAAAGCGCTAAATTCAGTTGAGAGGTTGATTGTTTTTGCCTTTGGTTGACCAGCATGAAAACACAGCCTGATTAGATGATCAATCAGGGTAGCGAATTGGGTGAACAAAGAGTTCATGCCCTTGTCAGTCGATTTTCTTTTAGCAGCTTGAATAATCTCTGCAGCAGCATCCCTCCTTGAAGGAACTGTTGATTTGGTGACAGTTGCCATGATCCAAAGAGCTTGTTGGGGATACTGATGTAGAACAGAAGTAATTATGTGCTTCACCAAACGAACAGTGTCTTCATTCTGATGGCAAATTCTAGAAACAAGTTGAGGCAAAACAGTCAACCATTGATGAGGAGGCAAATCCTTTAAACAACCTCGCATGACAGTCATAACCTGCACGTGTTTTGAGATGCCTATAATAATCCAAATTAATAAAAAATAAAATTAAAGGAAAGACTCAAATTTAAAAATTAAAAGTTAAGTAATTGGTAATTAAAAAATAAAGATCTTATTCCAAGGAAACACCTTTCCATGGATGGTTTTCATGTCTCTGGAAGAGCCAGTGCTACTTTGATGGTATATGCACCCAAAGTCAAACCAAAGAGTCAATAATCTTGGAAGCGCTTGGAAAAGATTTTTCTGGCCCCTATGAAGGCCTTTAGCATAATATAACAATACCTCAGGGAGATCAGACCACCAAGATTTCTCGGCATTCAAGCTCGGAGAAGAAACGGGGTTTAAATTTGATGGCCCTACCCTGGAAAGGAGCTCCG